GGGTTTTGGCAGAGACACACACACACGCGCACAGGATGCCCGCCCAGGTGAAGCTGCAGGAAGCCCCCAGCTCCGCCATGACCTCGCCGTCACTTTGGCACCACAAAGAGGCCATTTTGCGAGCTGGAGTCAGTCGGCAGGAAGTGGGGGAGGGATCGCTTCGCGTTGGCCGCCGGCCACCACCCCCTCGCGCCGCGTCGATCCCGCCGCCGGCCCCGTGAGGCCCCGCCCCCGTCTCCCCCCTCCCCGGAGCCCCACGCAGCGCTGGCAGCGCGTGGGCGCAGGCGGCACACAGACTGGCGCACAGATGGGCGGCAGGCTGCGCGGGGCCTCTCCGCACACCTGCTCTCGCACCCCGTCCGTCGAGCCGCCCCGTGCTGCCACGACTGCCTGCTTGGCACGCGGCACACACACACGCACACGCACAGGGGCACAGTGCGTGCTGACTGTGCAGGTCCCCGCAGGCAGGTCAGCCACATTCCTGCCGCCATCCCTGTATCAGAGAGCAAACAAAGGACCCCTCTGTTCCCTCATGGACAGACGAATATAACCCCCAGTAACCTGCCCCTGTGTCTTAATCATTTGTTTATCTCGAACCGTTTCTCGAATAGCTACTTTACTTAACCCCGGCAGGCCGCCCCAGCCATCCCTGGGACCCAGGGGGATTTCAGAGTGTGCCATGCACCGCCCCCCTCCCCCCCCTTTGGCCCAGTAGAACCTGGCCTTGTTTCCCGTTCCCGATATTAATAAGGAGATTAGCAGCCTAGCTGCGAGGACCCTGTGACGAGGGCCCTTTGCAGGGGCGTCCGCGGAGATCGCCCGCGGGACCCGGATGCCTGATGTTCTGTGGCATTACGAAATAAATAAAGAAGCGAAAACCCCGGAAAATAAAATAAAGTCCAATAAAAGAGCTCAGTGAACATCTGTGTGGGATAGCCTGGGGGATTAGGAGGGTTTGGAACATTTTAAGCGCATTAAGGATTAAAAAAAGGTCAGAATGTTTAGCAACATACCGATAAACCTCTTAAGCGAAACCCAGTTGGGAGGTAGTGCTGTGTTATCCAGAGATGGGGGGGGGGGGTGGTCTGTCATTTCAAAGATACGAGTTTCTCACACATATTATAATGTAAACACTCACCTTTGTCGCCCACATTGGGGCTGTGGTCACAGGAACTCCTGGACTGCATGAAGTTACACTCAGTAGTGTTAGACACACAGGAGTATTGTGTCGTTAAATCAGCTGGATAAATAAATAAGCACCTGCATGGGAATAATAATTAAACTTATTGCCCTAATTGACCATTTCAGCCGAGTTTTCCAGTCACTCGCTATTATTCACTCATAGCCGACTGACAGACTTTAATTTTTAAAATATGTCTAACAGCCTCTTCATTGTGTGTGTACTTCAGACAGATAGACAGACGCGCGTGCACACACACACACACACACACACACACGGAAGTGGTCACACCGAATGACACACTGATTGACAGTGCCATCTAGTGGCCATGCTGCTGGTTGCCAGGTCCAATCCTGTCAGTCCCGATTCCTCAGGCTCTGTCAAAGGTCACAGAAAGGCTGGCAGTGGGTGGCATTAATTACTGAGTACTGAGTGAGTACCAAACATTGCTGTCCACAGCCTGACCGTTGTCTTGTATTTTATTTGGTTACTTATGGTTAAGGTTAAGGGGTTGGGTTAAGGTCGTTAGAGTTTTCCTCATATTAATGAATGTAGAGTCCCTACAAAGATATAATTATAAACCTCTGTGTGTGTTTGTGTGTGTGAGAGAGAGAGAGAGAGAGAGAGAGAGAGAGATAGAGCACTCATAGACTCCTCTTTCCAGGAGTCACACTGTTCTGTCAGACTGGACGTGTGTGTGATGAATGCCTCGTGGTTTACTTTGAGAGAGCACTCACAGAATCCTCTTTTCAGGCTAGTACACTTTGCCCGTGCACTTGTGCCCACTCACGGTCGTGTTCCCGAGCCTGACTGCTCCCTACTGCCTGCACCGCAAGCGAGCCGCTGTTTGGGTTCGAGACTGACAGCTTTCTGTTCGGTGCTTATTGTCTGATATTAGAGGTCTACAATCCCACAAATCTTGCGCACGTACTCAAAATGTGTACCTGACAAAGAAACATCTGGACAGCTGTGGGGGTCCTCGAGGACCGCCCCCTCCTCCGTTTGGGCTATAAATATCAGTGCCTGTGTGGTCCGCTTAATCCGCAGAGTTTGTGTGCCGCCCAACCTGGACGCCTGCTCTGTCTGCCCCCTAGAGTGGCCAGAGGTCACCAACCCGGAGCAGCGAGTTTAATCCGTACCTGCTGGGGGGGTGCGGGGGGGTTACAAGGGAAGCAGAGCCCTGTGTGTCAGCCCTGTACAGCGCAAGCACACGGCAGGTGTGTGAGTGTATATATATCTGAGTGTCAGTGTGTGTGTGTGTGTGTGTGTATGTGTGCAGTTGCACCCCCTGAGCGATGGTGGTGTGTGTGTGTGTGCAGGACGCCGCGGGGCAGCTGTGCTGGCGAGATAAGCACGGGATCAGTGGGTGCGAAGCCTGCGGATGGCGCCGCTGCCTGGCATGCATGCAGCCCCCGCGGCTGGCGGCCCCGCGATAAGGGGCCCCCTCTCCGCCACAGATAAAGAGCCGCAGCCCCGATTCGGCGGCCCAGCCAGCCCACATCCGACCAGATGCGGCAACAAAAAATGGCGTCCCATCCGCCGGGGTGGTCAGTGCGTCGAGTCAGACTGCAGGTCGCTTTAGGGACATTTTTAAGCATGTTTGTGCTGCTGTGTTTTTAAGTCAGTNGGGGGGGGGGGTTTAAGGTTTCTGAGGATTTTTAATGGGGAGGGATATTTTTATAGAGTCACTCCAAGCACTGGGAAGCAAATCTTGGTAATTTGCTGTGTAATTGGATTTCAGATTGAGGGAGTGGATCTAGATAAACAGGATGGTGTTTGTGTGTGTGTGTGTGTGTGTACATGCACACCCTGTGTTTGTGTGATGACAGTGATGTCTGTCTGGGGTTGGGCCAGTAGCAGGCAGAGGTGGTGAGTCTGGGTGAAAATTTCCCTCATTGCTGCGGTTTACCCCATCGAGCCTGACGGCTTTATTCCGTCCCGACGCTTCCTGCTCCCTCGCAGTCATGTGGTGCACGTTTTGCCCCCTGCTGGTCACCAGCCGTGCCTACAGCCCTTCCTCAAGCTCCCTGATACTCTGCTTTACAGACATAGCATTCCATAAGCTGCTGCACTGGAAGTGTCTGACGCTCTGGGGCCTGCATTGGGTTGACTGATCCAGATGCAGGTTATTTTGTGTTTTGATGTCATCACTGAACTATAAGCAGTGGTTTGTTCAGTTACACGGTTTATTTTGTCCATTTTCGTTTACTTTTGAAAACTTGGACGTTCTGATGACCACTGTTCCACTCCCCACCCCCCTGCCCTGGGCCCCTACCCATGTCTGACTCTCCAAAATAAAATGTGACCCCTGTTAGGGGAAGCCAAGGACACCGTGGGCCAGGGAAGATTCATCTTCAACTTATACATCTTCAGTCACCAGGCAGGCTGTTTTTGTTTGCATTTGTATGTGTGTGTGTATACGTGTGTGTGTGTGTGTGTGCACACGCGCGCACGCGCCGTCAGCTTGCAGGAATGCGTTGGTACCGCCAAAGCTAAGATGGCTGCCAAGAACTAAGATGGCTGCCAGGACTCCGCAGAGCGAGAGAGCGGGAGAGGGAGAGGTAGCTGGAGAGGTGTGCTGAGCAGAGGCTCCGAACGCCTTTCAGGACCACAGAGATGGTGCACCATTTCCATTTTTACTATTTTTAAAATTTATTTTAGGGAGGTTTTGGTCCAATTTCCCAAACGCTTTAGAAGTGTGGCAAAGAGCATTGGAGGTAGCAAGGTTGCTAAGCGCTTCCCCATCCTGTAGCCAAGGGGGCACCGTGTTCCCTCCCCAACCGCTCTGAGGTGACCCTTAGCTTTGCTGTCCTCCCCGTCTTTGACCACGTGCCTTTCTGGGTTCATATTGTCTTCTGAAATGAAACACAGCGCCTGAGTCATTGGTTAGTGGCTCGTCTCACTCACACCCAGCCCACGTTGGCCACGGTGGGGACAATCCTCACGGCTCACAGGTGTCTCTCCGGCTGCGTCCGCAGACCTGCTCCGTCTGCGTCAGTCGGGGAAACTCCCGTCGACAAGTCTCAGCATGACGCGTCTGTGCAGTCGTTCACGTTCTTCTAGTGGCGCCCAATTAGTGGCTATGTGGCTCTATGACTGTCAGAGTGACACGTGTATTTGCGAGCTCTAGGTGATGAACTTCAGAGACTCTAAAGAGTAATCGCATGTAGAAGCTTATGGAATTTTCCACTACGGATCAATAAAGTCTGTTTATCTGTGTATCTGCCTGCACAACTGGGATTAACAGACACAGTGTAGCGAGACTCACAGAGTCCTACCCTCTTAGACTGCTAGGGTGTGTGCTCAGGGTTGTCTAAACTCAGCAGGACTCATTCCCCCACTGATGAATGATCGAGTTTTCCACAGCACCCCCCGCCCCTATCATGTGCTCTCTGCATAACCCTCCGACACACTCCCCAAATCTCCGTGATAATCATTGCGGTACTCGGAGGTGGAGGAGCTGGAGAAGGCGGAGAGGGAGGGGAGATAGGGGTTTACTCAGCCTAAATCCACACTGCATTAAGTGGAATTACAGTCAGGGACACGGGGAAGCTTTTAAATTCTGAAAGTTCATATTACACTGGGGCGGGGTGGGGGGGGGGGTGGCGCCACCTTGGGCTTATAGCCCAGGACGGCCGTAGGGACAGATCTGTGGTCACACCCTGCAGTCACGTCCTGCTCCTGCATTTGCACTTTCATGGTTCTTGTGGTTTGACCAGACAAGCGGCTCGTTCACGGTCTGGGTTACGTACGGGAGGCGTGTTTCTGTCTCCAGGTCCCAAACGCTGCTGAAAACTGACCTCCCCACTTTGTTTTTCAGAATCCGGACAATCAGACAACTCCAGCCAGCAAGGTGATGCTGACATCAAGCCTCCTCCTAACGGTGAGTATCAGCACACATACACACACACACACACACACCACACATTGTCCTTTACAGGAAGCTTCTCTGAAATGTCATGTGACACCACACCTGTGGTGCCTTAAAAGGGGGGGAGGGAGTTAGGATGATTCCAAGCGACAGGGACCCTACAATATTTGGAACATAATCGGATTGGTCTGGGGTGGGGCCCAATATGATATGTGTTCATGGGGCTAATAATCTCTAGTGCCCCCCTGCTCTATGCAGCCTGAGCTCTTTACTGACATTTCTCCACCTGCACAGTTAATTCCGTGTCGGAGCGGTTATTGTACAGACAGACCGTAGCGGGTCTTCACCTCCTCCTCCACCTCCTCGTCCACATGTAGCAGTGAGGTGAGCGTGGCCTCACCGAACCCCACAGGGGTGCGAGACGTTGGCCGCGTCCCCTGCCCCCGTCTCTTGCCACGTTTGCCACCGTAACCTAGCAACGCCGCGTCGGCACCACAGACAGACGGTCCAGCTGTGCGCTGGTGGAGACTCAGTCCCTGCCATAGGTGTGTGAAAATGTCCTCGCACCCGTGTGCTGGCTGAAACTGTGCTATTGCCTCCTCCCCCGTGCCCCCTCCCCCCCACCACCCACAGGGCACCTGAGTTTCCAGGACTGCTTTGTGACTTCAGGTGTGTGGAACGTCACCGAGCTGGTCCGTGTGACACAGAGTGAGTTCCCCGCACCGCCTGACCCCAAGCCCATCTCTCCCAATCTCCCTCTCTCGCCCGCTGCATGTGATGTCACTTCTCCCTCCTGGGTGGGGCACTCAGACTGAGCCGATTAAATGCCCCTTTCCCTCGTTAACAGCCATTTAACACACCGACCAGCAGTCCTGTCTGTCCTAAAATACCACCCTCTAACACCACCTTCTTTCTTCCTGACTATTTACAGCTCCTGTTGCCACGGCGTCTGGCCCGAATTTCTCTCTGGCTGACCTGGAGAGTCCCGGCTACTACAACATCAACCAGGTGGCCCTGGGCCGGCGCTCTCTCACGTCCCCCCCGTCCACCAGGTACACCTCATAAAGGTTCCCGCCGCACAAAGGTTCCACTTCCTGTACCCAGCCCAAGACTGAACACATGAGCACTTCAAACTTTAAAACTTAAACACCTGCCTTAGTATCAGTATTCTGATACTTCTTGAACCTTTTGCTATGACTAAATGTTTCGGATGAGTATAAATAAGTCCTTCTTAGCGGTAGGTGGGCAGCCGTGAGTCGATGATGGCTTTCATGTTTATTTAGGGTTATCTGAGTAACATGGCAGGGAAACTTTCAAAGACACAAATGCAACGGTGGAAAGTTCAGGTCCAAAAAGTAAAAATCTGGACCAAGATTTTGTTTCAACCAACTAAGTCAAAGTACAAGAGTAGTCAACTGGTTGATTCGGATTGGTACTTTTTGAACTTTCCACCTCTGTACATCTTCACTGTTGAACAGCCCTGCCGGACAGTGTCTCTTAAGGCATGGCACTGAGCAGCACCCCCTGCTGGACAGTGTCTCTTAAGGCACTTCACTGAGTAGCACCCCCTGCCGGACAGTGTCTCTTAAGGCACGGCACTGAGTAGCACCCCCTGCCGGACAGTGTCTCTTAAGGCACGGCACTGAGTAGCACCCCCTGCTGGACAGTGTCTCTTAAGGCACGGCACTGAGTAGCACCCCCTGCTGGACAGTGTCTCTTAAGGCACGGCACTGAGTAGCACCCCCTGCCGGACAGTGTCTCTTAAGGCATGGCACTGAGTAGCACCCCCTGCTGGACGTGGCGTGCAGCATGGCATCTCGCTCTACTAACAGTCATTTCTGCTCTCTGCGTGCTTGACACTCACTCTTCCTGTGTGAATGAGTGATGGACTTCTTTGTTTTCCTCTCCCTCTCTCTCTCCTTTTCCCTTCTTTCCCTTCACTGTGCAGGACTGAAGTGGAGCTATATGCAAGTCTTCCGCGGAGGTAGTCGCACACCCCGTGGGCCGTTTCCATGGGATACTCACACACATGTACACACACACACACACATATTCTTACGCATGCTTGCATGCACGCTTACAGCACCCTCATTCCCCCCCCCCCAGCCGCAGTGATGTCTCTTTGTAATGGGTCAGGGTCTCCAGTCAAAGCAACTCACATGGTACAGAACTTTCCAGAGCTTGACATTTAGTACGGAAATGAAGGTTGGAAATGGTGACCCTCTTGGGACCAAAACCTGCAACCTTTTGGTGGCTCAGCAGGCTTTGACCTGCTCATTTCCTGTTCTGTACTTCCCGTTTAATTTCCCTGAGGGATTTCCTACCAGCGCTGTAGGGAGTCAGATCCGCGCTGTCAGTGTTGGGTCAGAGCAGAGCGAGTGGCTGTGTGCCACCTACCCCCACCCCGGCTTTGGGTTCTGCAGCTCTGGGTTCGCGGAGATGGCCATTTTGCATTCTGTCCTCCTTGCGGGTTTGTCAGAACTGGGTCCGGTCCTGATTGGCCTGAGTCCCTGAGATTAGCTTCTTGGGTGCGGTATGAGGTTTATGAGGTCGAGTTGCCGAGTGTAGATCCTAGAATGACAGACCCTCCTCCCCCCCACCCTGTTCCCCAGCTCCAACAAGCGCAAGTCCATCGACGACAGCGAAATGGAGAGCCCGGTGGACGACGTCTTCTACTCCGGCCGCTCGCCTGCTGCCAGCAGCTCCCAATCCAGCGGCTGGCCCAACGATGTGGACGCAGGTACCAAGCTCTCCCTGGTGACCCCCCTCTCCTCCAGTCCCCACCCTACCCCTGTGAACCCTAAGCCCTCATCCTAACCCCCTGCCCTCCACCCCACATCGAGCAGAACCGTGAGGGAGAATCAGCCCCGTCCCACACAGAAGTGCACGCATTTCACACGTGTGTGACTACATGTGCGTATTGTACATGTGTGTGTATGTAGACATATGCATGAGTACTGCTTTTTACTGAACTCATGTATTCATATCAAAAGCCCTTATTCAGATTTGATCCAGTAGGAATATCACTCAGTATAGGAATATCATACTGTAGAACACATTTAGCGGTTAAATTACATGCAGGCAAATACAGGCAGTTAATTATTCCTGGTTCGGATTGCGTAGGTAATACAGCCTACAGGCTCGTAGGACCAGTGACGATTGCAGTGACGGCCCGGGAATTACTGGTGCATAGATCCGTGACAGTCCTTGAATCAGAAATCTGTTGTTTAGGGGAAATGCGCCCCCAAGAATCAGAGTTTGATGAGTTGCCAGAGGTCAGTCTGGAGCGCCCCCCCTTGGTGTAGTTGGAAATGGCAGGTTGGGAGATTGGCTTGTTAAGGAGAAATGCCAGTGAAGGTTCCGGTGTAGTCAGGTTAGGATGCATCACGGCCGGGGGGGGGGGAGCTGGGCTGGGAGGGGCCAGATGGGCTCCGCAGCCTCATGCCCGTCAGGCGGATGCCTTCGCGGGGAGACGCCGCAGGTGTGCGTTAGGTGGGCGGGAGTTGAGCTGCGAGTCAGTCACCGGTGCTGAGATTGTGGCGAGCCCCGTGTAACGTGGGGGAGGGGGGGCACGGCCATCTGTGGCGTGACGCGGCTGACAGTCGCCGCTTCGCCTTCCTGTCCGCGTGCCGGTGGACCGCTGCCTGGCCAGACGTCGCTGCTTGCGCGCGATGCCAGCCCGTGCGCGTACCGCTCACCGTCTACGGGCCGCAGGGTGTGTGGCTTTCAGCGGGACCTGATTTCCTGGCTCCGTACGGGGCGTGTTCAGGATGGTGGTGGGGGAGCGGCCCACTCACATCCCTGCCTGGCGTGGGGTCCGCGCGGCCCCTGGAATGCAGCTCGGAGCAGTCAGCCTGCAAGAGCGCAATACCTCATCATACCTCACTTATTTATACTGGAGTGTCTCCTCTCAAAACTACTCACCTTTTTAACTTTAAGTGCTACCTGCACTAGCTAACCAGTTTATCATATGCGTTTTGATATAAGCATTTATGTTCTGTATTAAGTGTGATTATCCTTCAAAAAATTGAGCTTCTCTGTGAAGAATCTTTCACTGGGAGTGCTGTAACATAGCTGTCCTTTCAGTGCAAAGCCTGAGTCATTACTCTGGGGTCACAGCTCGCCTCCCCGACAGCTCATGGGATTTTTACATTCACTTACATAAAAATGTTCTTAGGGCAGAAGGAAAAATGACTGGTTCAGAGAGATAACCAATCAGAAGCCTTGGCCCTGTCTCCTCCAGTTACTTGGACGCACCTCTTCTACAGTCTGCTTGGTTCTCTCTGAACCAATCATTTGTCATTCTCCCCTCAGAACATTTTTGTGTCCTGAAGGAGACCGGAGTGCTTATTGGTGCAGGAATGCCAGAGTGTGTGCTTGGAACTGGCACAATGTCCCGAATCATTTGTTAGAGGGGTGTTTGCATACGTGTGTGTGGATTGTTTACATTACATTGTGGGGACCAAACGTCCCCCACAATGTGATAAAAACCTGTCATTTTGACATTGTAAATGCAATCAAAAAACTAAAAATGCTAAAAGTCTCGTATTTTGTTTTGTTACTTATGGTTAAGGTTAGGGCTGGGTAGGGGTTAAGGTCGTCATTTTAGGGTCCCCATAAAGATATAATTACAAGACTGTGTGTGTGTGTGGGAATGAGGAGTAGGTCACTTCTTAGTCCCAGCATCTTCACTCACAGGGAAGTGGTGCTATGATGCCATCGTTCCCTGTTTGCCTTCTCTCCGGTCTCCTAGCTTCGAGCTGCCCCCTGTGCTCAGCTACCGTCACTGTGTAGCTGTTGCCGGGGAGACTGGAATGGCAGCGTGATACGCGGCTGTGTGTTACATGGCAGGATTTCCACACGTGTTTATATACGCGGCGTTCCAGAACCAGCGGCTGGGGGTGGGTCCAGGTTTCAGCAGAAGGTGTGAAGGCGTTTTCTTGGCCGGGGGGTTATGTTTGACTGAGAAATAGTTTAAGACACCTCAGGATTTCAGGGCAGTGTAGAGAACAGATCTTACTAATTAGGGGTAGATACTGATTCACTCATTGACAGAAATGGATTCATGGTGTAAAATTCGTAATGTGAGCCCCTTTCGTGCAGCAGTCAGTCGGTTGTAAACAGTGTTGGAGAAACTACTTTTAAATGGTAGTTTTTCAAGCTACAAGCTACTTATTAAAAGTAGCTAAGCTACAGCCAAGCCACTGCTTTAATATAGTAGTTAGCTATACTACAAGCTACATAGAAAAATTAGCTAACTACATCAAAGCTATTCATCTGGTAATACTTAATATTTATGCTATAGCTAGGATACTCTTAAACCAAATGAATTAAAACACGTGAAACACGATGTTAAAAGTTATATGAAAATTTATATATTTTTTAACAATATAATGTCAAATCACAATAAGATCTCAAAAAAGTTTACTTCAGAATTACTGTGCGAAAATTAGAAGGGTTACAGCAAAAAAAGATTTTGATAATCCGTCCAAGAACCAAAAGTGCTCCTAGACCTATGCATTTAAATAAAAGCATTATAAATATTGTTTTCATCCCTCAACATCCCTGGAGTATTTAAGCAAAAAAACACCATATAATACAGGTCGTTATTGAAGTATTAATCAGAAGGACATTATGAAACAAAAATCGACTTATGACCGCGATAAGCTTATTTTATATGCAAAATTTTCACATGTATAATAAAATTACATAATCTTTAAGTCATATTGTTTTGTGTTTTTACCATTTTTATCACAATTTTTCTTAATTAATTATTGTTATAACCTTTTTATCACCATAAAACACAAACGGATGCGAATGTATACTGTACTTTGAACGCTGCGGACGTTAGCCTGAGCACGAGATGAACGAATAAGTGTCTCGCGGGGATGCGCGCGCTGTTAGCGCGCAGCCACATATCTGCCGTCTCGGAACGGTCATAAGTTGCGTAGGTCGTAAGTCATCGACGATGTACTATTGTTTAAAGACATAGCATTTTGCCACGCTACATCGCTATTTGTAAAAAAATAAATCACTAAGTTACCGGAAATACTACAACGTTTTAAAAGTAGCTGCGCTACTGATAAGTTACTGAGAGAAATAGTTAAGTAAGTGGCCTCGCTAATTGTAGTTAGCCACTCCCCAACACTGGTCGTAAACTTTGATACGATCAAGCAGGTGGTTCTGGGATTGAACACACCAGTTCTATCTGGGTTTACTTTTTTTAATGCTTTAATCCATAAAAACATGAACATCGCAAACATCCCGTTTGTCATTCTCCACCACCATGGCGAGCCTTGAGCACAGCGAATGTTCAGGGGAAAAAGCCAGACCTGGACATTTCCCAGGGTGACGCTTCCCTGTCACATGTAAATTGAGTAGATGGTACAGAGAGGGCCGTAGGTAGCTCGGTGGGTGTGGGATCTGGGCCTTGGTTGAGATTTCAAATCCCAAGGCTGGCAGAGTATTCATATCACTGTTTGGCTCTTGGACTAAGATCTTAACCCCAACTGCTCCTGGTGTGCTGGATGCTGGCTGACCCTGCTGTCCATTCCTAAAACCCCCTTTTCTCCTGTATATACCTGAGCGTGATGGGATATGTAAAACCCAGCTTATTTTCCTATGGGGAAGAATGACGTACCCCTATCTATTCTGTATTCTCAGCAAAAAAGGGCTGAGGTCTTTTTTTGGGGGGTGGGGGGTAATGAGTGGGTGCGTTTAATAAATAGTTGTAATTTCCGAAAAAAAAATGGCACACAAATGAGTACACAAAGCTAACCAGGGACTTGACGGTCACGGCTGGTTAGTCTGTGACCAGTAACGGGTTTGAGTGTAAAAATGAGTCACTTTGTAATTGTAAGACAGTGTAGACGTTATGGCAGGAGCGGGACTGGTTGCGGGAGTTTCAGACATGATTAGGTGACGGGCTCTCATATTTATATATCCAGCATATCTGTTGTTAAAGTTGAAATAGCATGACTCTTACAAAAATGCAAGAGTCCGATTACAGTCGCTAGGCAGATATCATCCGGGACGTCTGCCTGGGTCTTGTTCCTCTGAGCCACGTGGCCTCTTCAGTTGGCCAGATGTGCCTGCGAGTTTGGCATGTGCATAGATCGACCCCTCCCCTCCCCAGCCCCTCCCCAACCCCTCCCCCAACCCCCTCCCCCCCAATGCCCACAGCAGTGTGTGACCATAATGCCAAATAGAAAAATTCAGATTCTGACCCCTCCCTACCCAGCCCCTTCCCATGATTGCTGAATGTGACACCCTCCATTTCACCTGTGTCCCCCCACCCCCTTGTCTGCTGGTAGATATGTCCTCCTCTCCTCTCTTGACCCTATAGGATGTGTTGGAGTGCTGCCGATCTGAATCCCTCCCCCCAATGCACCCATCCTAACACTTCCCTTCTCCACTTTCAGTGCAACACCATTTGGCGAATGTGCAGGAGAGGAAGATTAAACATGAAAACGATGGCGTGCAGTTTCCGTACCATGGTTAGAGCACATTACACTAATATATCTCAATCATATATCTCTATAACCCGCCTCAACTGTATGTCTCTCTTTCTTTTTCTTTCTTTCTTACTTTCTTTCTTCCTTGCCTTCTTTCTGCCTTCTCCTCTGTTTGCTTGTCTGTCCTTGTTGCACCGTGTTTTGATTTGCTGATTTGACTCGCCGTCCCGCCGTCTGATTTGGTTGTGCTTGTTCCTGTCCGGCCAGTAGCTTTCGTTCGGAACATTCTGGCGTTTCGTTTGCTGTGTCGCAGCCACCGCTTTCAACTGCAGCTCCGTTCGAGGAAAAAGCAGCTAGAATATGGGCAAATAAAGTAGTCGTTATGCAGGCAGGTGTGCTACGAACCCCGCCCTGCCATTTACTTTGGCTTCTGTTGGGCAGAAACTAAGCTACGTCACCAGGGGAGTAAAGTGGAGACCAGTAGAGACAAATACAAATGAAATATCCCCATCTGTTTGCTCGAGTGCCTGGTGCATATCACGTTCTTTTTCTGGCGTCACACTATCTGGGGATAGCCAATCAGACTCACACTGCCTGGAGCCAGCCAGTCAGAGTTATTAATGTAAGGAGCCAGCCAATCAGAAAAACTGTCTTAGCATCAGGCTCTTCAGAATTGCCCAAGGAGTCTCTGTGGGCTTTCTGCAGTTATCGTCCTCCTCTAGGTTTTAACAGCATAATTAGCGTGGTTTTCTAGATGAAGTGTCCCAGTCACCAGGTATCGTTCCCCAGGCCTTAAAGACTCGCTAATTGAAAGAGATCGTTGCGATCCCCACAGGAATCCAGCAGACCTTCTGAGCCTGGGCCCGTTTCCTGCTAATTTAGACGTGTAGAGTAATTAACACACCTCCATCAAACACGCTCTCGTATGCTCATTCTGCTTAACGGCGTTTGATGCTTATTTATTTATTTATCTCTCCAAGCAATCAGGCATCGGACGGCGGCATACGTTCATGAACTGACGTTCCATTTCACACCGGTTTCAATTAATTTTTGGAGCAATGAAAACACACAAAACATGCTTCACCATATGGGGATCAGTCAAAAGTGTCCTGTTCCTTCTTGGGGTGGGGTGTGGGGGGTGGTGTGACCTGGATTAGTTCCGGCGCGAAGTGGCTCCGGAACCGGCAAATGGGCACTGATCCGCGAAAGGCCCGGTTAAGTATGACCCATCCAGAGCCACTGGAAGAGGAACCTGCAAGTACGAACAAAATGGGCCTGACTCCCACACACACACACACATACATACATACATACATACATACACAGACACAAATACATATATACACAGACACATACATACATACACAGACACACATACATATACTGTACACACACACACACAGGTTTGTAATTATATCTTTGTGGGGACTCTCCATTCATTTCTGTGGGCAAAACCTTAATCCAGACAATGACAGCCGTAATCCCTATCCAGCCCTAACCTTCACCATAAGTAACCAAATTAAATACAAATCTTTTGATATTTTTAGTTTCTGATTGCAGTTTCAGATTTGTATAAAATTGAATTTCCGCTTGTGGGGACCAAAGAATGGTATAACCAAAGAATAACAGGTTTTTATCACATCATGGGGACATTTGGTCCCCACAATTTAATGTATATCTGACCCACACTCGCACACACGCGCACACGCGCACGCACACACTCAGTCTGGAGAGGAGCTATGATCCCAGATGGTGCCTCCATGTGTCTGAGGCGACGGGGAGCCGCTGGGTTACAGAAGACATCTGCTCAGCAGAGAGAGGGTGCATGAGGCTGTCAGAATCAAAGACTCACATGTTTTTTTTCCAAATGATTTGATAATTATTAAGAAACATGGGGTTTGCAGGAGGGGCCTGCCAGGTGTGTGTGCGCGAGTGTGTGTGCGTTTGGTCCTATGTCCACATCCCATGGCATTATGGGAATTAGGGCAACAGCAGGGCCCACTCACTGATGACCTCCCTCCAAAGGGCCCCGCCCAGCCTGATAAGATAAATGAAAAAAATATGACGCTTAGAATAATGCTGTGTGCTGCAAACACAAAGAAGGCTGTGCTGTCAGTGGGTGTGGCTTTCTATGGTGGGTGTGGCTTTCTATGGTGGGTGTGGCTTTCTACGGTGGGTGTGGCTTTTGAGGGTAGGGCCCTTTTCTCTGGGCCGCCTAGGAGAGATGTAGGCTGGTCTCAGGCCAGCGATCCAAGCTGCCACGCTTAGAGTAACCCCCCCCCCCCCCAATAAGCCTGCTGGCTCTATCCTTCCTCCATCATCTCCTCCATTCCATCTCCATCCCACCCGTCGCTGCCATGGGACCTGCCCCCAGGGAAGCCTCACCAATTCGAGACACGTATATATGTAGATGCATTCATGCATACATGCTGAGTGTCTGTGTCAGATGTAGGGCCTTCAGTTGTTTGTGTGTGTGTGTCTCTGTGTCTCTGTGTCTGTCTGTGTGTGTGGTCTAGGTATACCTTATGTTGTGAGGACCATATATCCCCACAACGTGATAAAAATCTGTTATTTTGTCGTTGTGGGCACGGCAATCAAAAAACTAAAAATGCCAAAAGTCTTGTATTTTGTTAGGTTACTTATGGTCAAGGTTAAGGCTGGGTAGGGATTAAGGTCGCCGTTGTTGGGATTAGGGTTACGCCCTAACCCCAGGTATGATATAGATATCTAATCAGTGTGTGTTTGTATGTATATTAGTGTGTTCCTGTATAGCTGTGTCTGAGTATATATATCTGTGTGTGTTTGTGTGTGTTTTGGTTGTGTCTCCCCAGCCCATGGTGCTGCCTGTCAGATTGTTGGGCAGTTTGAAGGAGGGGGGGGGGGCCTGATTGTCTCCCTCCCATGCCCTCAATCTTCCTGTGCTTTTTTGGTAGCCCCGTCCTGAGTGCCCCCCACCCCATGCGATCCCTAGTCTGCTCCTTCTCCACCACACTCCCACATCTCTATTCCTGTCTCTCTCTACCTCTCCACCACTGACGGCAACCGTAACCTTCAATTATCCATCACGGGAGCGGCAGCCGGGATGAAGGATCCTCTCAAAACGCGGCGATCCTCGTTCTTCCAGAACATTACAAAACGCCCTGTCAAATCGCAGGTGCTGTTTGGGAAAAAAAAAAAATCCCTCTAACACGTTCCCATATCCACTCCTACTTGCTGAAGACTGAACAGAACATTAACACCCGCCCACGCGTTGCTATATTGACGCAGACTCACACATGCCCGACTACGGCTTTGCGGGCTGTCGGACGGCAGGCGGATGCGATTCAACGCCCTGTACCACGCTGTTGAGGGAAAGAACATGGCCACCAGGACACAGAGCTAAAATAAAAAACACCAGCCTTCTCCAAGCGACAAAAGCCCTGAAGGGGGTTATTTTCAACTCCACACAGCTTCCAGCTCCAGCCTTGGTCCCTGAGTAAGAGCATCTTCCATGCCAGGCTCCTACGTACGCGAGCCGGCCCTTTGTGCTGCTGCACTCCTCTCTTTCTCAGTCCTTTGTCTCGCTCTTTTCTCGAAAGCGTCTCATAACCTCAAATGGCGCGAGCGGAGCCAGGTGCCAGCTTTTTGAGAAGGCCCAATGCTACTGGCCTTGTTTAAGCAAACCCATCCTGACACCCCCATTCCTAGCCCCTCACACTTTCATGTCTTCCCAAGTTACCCTCGCTTTTCCTTTTCTCTCCTGCCCTTATCATGGCAGGAGAGGGTCCGCTACCCAAACGGCAGACCCCTCGTGACTCTTCCTCCAGGCCAGAGCGCTACTGGTGTAAAACTCCACACTTTTTCATGTTTTTAAGAACTCTCTGTTTTTTTGTCCCAGACAAATGCTTGTATCCATAAATTGCAGCTCGAGAGAGATAGAGACGGGAGAGAGAGATGTCGGCACATATTTAGCGGATAACATGAAACACGTTTCGTTTGATAAAGCCATCTGTTAGCATAATACCGCCTTTAATTAGCTCGCGGTTTTTGAGTCTTGCAGCTCCTTCCTTTGCTTTTGTTTAATTTCATCATGCACGGGGCTGCTGCCTTCCGCTCCCAGGGGCTGGGCTTTGTCGGCCCCGCGCTCTTGCGGTGTTTACAATCTGTGCCGGACAGTGAGCCCCCCAGGTGCCCCTCGCGACCGGAAGCAGTTTTGGAAGTCAGAGCCGGACTCCGGCCTCCTCTGTGCAGCACTCATGCTAACAGTGCAAGGCCTGCAACAGCTAAAGGGAAAAAAATCATTTGAAATCCCAGAAGAACAGAAAAGGTCTTAATGTTTTTTTTTTATGCATTATCTGACAAGCAGTGGGAGTTGCCATCACACACTTGATTTTCCCTTTGGGGTCCCCCTCCCCCAGGCTGGCCTGCTCACTGGGGGGTCCTCTTACAAAGGTTTTTGAGTCAAAGTCCATCCATCCATCGTATTGGGAGAAAAACGTGAGGGAGAGTATAGACATGAAATGCAGAATGACAAGGCAGTTTGGAGTTTGGAGGAGGAGATTGTGTCCCTGTTTCCATACTCCAGTGTGGGGGTAGATCACATCCCCATTTCCCTAATCCAGCATGGGGGTAGATCACGTCCCCGTTTCCATACTAAGGCGTGGGGGTAGATCGCGTCCACATTTCCCTATTCCGGTGTGGGGGTAGCTCATATCCCCGTTTCCCTGCTCCATCGATGGGGTAGATCTCATCCCCGTTTCCCTGCTCCATTGAGGGGGCAGATCATGTCCCCATTTTCCTTTTCCATCAAAGGGGCAGATCGCATCCCCGTTTCCCTGCTCTATTGAGGGGGCAGATCGTGTCTCCATTTTCCTGCTCCATCAAAGGGGCAAATCGCGGCCCTATTTTCCTACTCCATTGAGGGGGCAGATCGCATCCCCGTTTCCCTGCTCTATTGAGGGGGCAGATCATGTCCCAATTTCCCTACTCCATCCAGGAGGTAGATCGTATCCCCATTTCCCTGTTCCATCAAGGGGGCAGATCACGACCCCATTTCCCTGCTCCATCAAAGGGGCAGATCGTATCCCCATTTCTCTGTCCCACTGAGGGGGCAGATTGCGTCCCTGTTTCCCTGCTTTATAGAGGGGTAGATCACATCCCCATTTCCCTACTGCATTGATGTCATAGTCATGTGTGTGTGTCCCACCACATGTCAAAGCCCTGTAAACCCAAACCCATATAATCCAGCATCTAACTGATTGTTTTGCTCCCACTGTTCTGTTGGGGGGGGGGCGTTACTCTAAGTCTGTGGAGGTTCTGAATTGGAAACAAAGATGCCAGCGTGCTGGTTGAGGTTCTTTTGGCAGGACTGCAGTTGAGAAGCTTACCATGACCATGACATGAAAAGCAAACAGAGTAGCAACCTACAGCAAAGCTATCCTTAAAAGTAACCAGAGCAAACTAAAGTCCATTTAAAAGACTCATTCACACAGCCGATGGAAACCTTGTGAATTAAACCCACGTCTTTGTTCTGCCATTTGTTGATCCCATTTTTGCCAGGACTCTCCTCGCCTGGTTCTCTTAAGAAGCCGGGAAAGTTCGATTTCAGCGCCCTGTCGCCCCAGACGAGGTCGCCCCGCATGGCGTTCACCCACCACCCGCTGCCAGTGCTGGCGGGAGTGAGACCAGGTGAGACCCGAGGTACCCCCCAGGCCCAGACATGGGGAGGGGGGAGGGGAGAGCAGTGGGAGGGGATGAGAGGGGACGGAAAATCATGGGCAATTTGGGTGTGTTTGAAATTAGATGGATCCCCTCCCCCCCACCTCCCCCCACCTCTTTCAGACAAATCAGATGAATAAAAATCAATCTCACCTGTGATTTACTCCTACCTGTTTCCTCTCAACCAATCAGCACAGTTTGAGTGTTTCCGTGATTGGACAGCTGAGTGACGGGCTCATCCTCCTCAGCCCCATTCGCTTCATCCATCCCGCCCTCCCCCCACTCTTGTTGGTGTTGTGTGACTGGGGTAGGAGGCCAGAACCAATCCTATGGGTCCAGTCTCTCTGTGGTACCTCCTTGTGTCCCATTCAGCTGTATGGTGTCATGGGGGTAACCCCCCCCCCCCAGCTGACCATTGTCTGTTCCAGTGGAAATGTTCTGTTTGGCAGTGAGCCGCTGGCATGTAAGTCTCACCGAATCGAGTCCGACCAGCTTGGCCCCTTAAAGCTCATAAAACACCAGTCAGACAGTGGGATGTTGCTTGGAATGTGCTGTGGCTTATACCTGGATGACATACCACCTTACTGGGTCATAAGAACCATCGGCAGTGGTGCAAGAGCTCCGATTTTATGCAGAGTGCCATTTACGTGTTGCGCCAGCGCAGAGCGGTGGACCTGCTGTGGATGTCTGCCTTGTTCTCCTGTGGAACCTTCCCATCATGCACCCCTCTCTCTATCCAGATTCTGCTCTCTCTCTTCTCTCTGTCCTTCCCCCTCCCTGTCACTTCATAACCACTTGTGAATCGCCATGTTGTGTTGGTATTGTGACCTTCCAAGATCCACTCATCAGAACTAACCAGCAGAACTAAACCTCTGATCGTGGCCGTTTTCAGCATTTTTTTTTTTGTTTTCAAAAAAAAATGTGGGTCATGTGGGTAACGAGGTTGGGGTCAAAAATGGTATTGATGGCATCTATCCATAGTTTCAACTTCTGGCTTTTGGTGGATCCTAAGTGCTTTTAGTCCTCTGATGGTCATGCCTACACATGACTTGGGCCAAACCTTCTGGGAAGCTCTGGTGGTGGGTGCTCAGAATTCTTTCTGCTCTTGATAAATCTGGATGAGGGATCTTCCAACTCTTTTCTCCAATGAACCCCGCAATGCATTCACAGTGAGACTCTCCTCTGATTCATGGGTATTTTTGATCATTAGATTTGATCAAGTGTCAAAGTATCTTCTGTAGTTCTTCCAGCAGAGAGGCACAATCCAGCATGTATGGTCCTCTTGCTGATCCTCTCTCCCATGAGCTGCATTTTGTAGATACCGATGATCTAAGGTAACAGATTAATTCTGCATGCCTGACTCTTACAATAAGCAGCTACGATGAGTACATTCTGAAGAAAATGAGAAGCAGCAGTGTTTTCTGCTGTACCAGGGAGCGTGATGTGAAAGAGCATTACTGCGTGTACAATGATATGGAGAATGGTGTGTATTATGACCATTAAATACAAGTATGGATATTATACCTAAAGAAAGTGATTCAATTTTGAAAACCCCAACATTGTTGGGGTGGATTTATGTTAAACAGAACATTTGTTTGTGTGTATCTTTAGAGGGTTGTGTGTGAATTGTTTGTTTTGTCTGTGTGTTTCCTAGGGTGTGCATTTGCATTGTTTGTTTTGTCTTACTGTTTGTTTGGCGGGCCGTGCTTCTGCATTGTTTTGTCTGGGTATCTGCTTGGAGCAAAAGCCTCTTGCAGGTCTTCCAGCTTGTAGCATCTACATCAGTGACTACGTCAAGGATGTGATGCAGAGTTTGTGCCAAGTTACTTTTGCCGACATCATAGAACACGCCATATGTTTCTCTCCTCCATAGGACATACCTCGCACTGGCTCTGATTGGTTGGGTGCCAGCATGGCAGGGTTTGTTGACGTGGTTTTCAGAATCTAATCACGTCAAAGTATAAAAAGCGGGTGTGTGCCTGTGTGTGTGACAGAGATAGAGAGATGGTGTGTGTGTCTGTCTCTGTGTATAAGGATGAGAGGGGTAGGTGGTGTGTGCGTTTGAGAAAGGGTTGGCAAGGCTGTATGTAGGGGGCAAAGTGGTGCCCAGCACCCTGTGATGTTTGGCTCCAGCCCAGCTCCTAATGAGATTAAGGAGGAATAAAGGAAGGACCGGGTAGTGGGGAAAGAGGGATGTGGATGATCTGAGCTGAGAGAGAAAAAGAGCAGGATGAGGATAATCTGAGCCGAGGGTGAGAAAGAGGGGGATGGGGATGCTATGGGCTCGGAGGGAGAAAGAGGGGGATGAGGATATTCTGGACGGGGGGTAAGAAAGAGGAGAATAAGGATGGTCTGGGCCGGGAGGAAGAAAGAGGGTGATGAGGATGTTTTGGCCAGGAGTAAGAAAGAGGAGGATGATGATGCTCTGGACCAGAAAGGAGAAAGAGGAGGACGAGAATGATTCAAGCTGAGGGTAATTAAGAGGGGGATGATGATGCTCTGGGCCAGAAAGGAGAAAGAGGCGAATTAGATGCTCTTGGTCAGTAGTAGGAAAGAGGGAGATGAGGATGTTGTGGGTCAGGAGAAAGAAAGAGGGGGTGTGGATGCTCTGGGCTAGGAGGGAGAAAGAGAGGGATGAGGATGCTTTGGGCTGGGAGAGAGAAAGAGGAGGATGAGGATGCTCTGGGCCAGGAGGGAGAAAGAGGAGGATGAGGATGCTTCGACTGGGTGTTATGAAAGAGGGGGATGAGGATGCTCTGGGCTGGGCTGTCTCAGGCAGACTGACAGGCCTCAGTGGTCAGCTGGGGGCAGATTGACTGTGAACCGGGGGCTGTCACACATGCGGCCCAAGGACGGGTGGGTGCACAACATAGTGTGGGAGGGGTGTGCATGTAGACACACACAATCTCTCACTCCCTGTCCTACACACTGACAGCCACACAAACACACAGTCTCTCCCTCTCTGTGCAGCAGGCAGGCAGCCTCTCTTTCACCCTCAGTGATACTCTGATCCACCCCTGGGCCTCACTGCCGTCACTCACGCTAAAAACGGGCAAATGTGAAGCAGAAGGCGTTCGGGGACCCAGCTGTGGTTACACCGCTGTTCAGTTTAGGCCCAGACCTCTAGAATGGGATGCATCCCAGTCAGCAACATAATCGATAAAGAACGCATATGCCTGCATATCACACTTACACACAGATCCCCTTTCCTTACCGAATGTTCCCACTAAGCAGCCTTCCGGACCGGATGTCCGCAGGACCGCGGTGTTCAAGGTCCCTCAGGAGCACATCTCGCAGATTTCACACAACTGCATTTTAGAGGGTCACGTTTTTATCACAGCCGGTTCGTATCATTGTGCCACTCGCAATATCACATAAAGAGCATGAAATAATATTACGTAAGTGATATTCCATGTGTTTCAGCTTTTCTGTAAGTGCCTGACATCACGGGGAATTTGCCGAATTGCGGTACAAAGCCCCTCTGGTCTTTTTAGCATACGTCTCATTTATGTGTCCGCTTGGGTATACATGTGTTTCTGCTGGAGGCTGATTTATGCATGCGGGTAAGAGCAGATGTTTGGCCACGCCCTTCAGTGGCCCTCCGAATTCCCACACTATGCGAGCTGTGTGCTCGGCATGCCCTTGAGAAGTGCTGGGTCATCTGTTCTCACTCCGCTGAGGATCCCAGTCCCCTTCCACTTAGGGGGCCAAACAGTCCTCTGTATCTGCAGTGCCCCACTAACGCTTTAGAGGGCGCCACTGTCAGCTGGCGGCAACAGGTTGGAGAAGTGGGCCGCCTTGCCGCTGACCCTCCCCGTCTCCCTTTCTCTCCTTTCCCCCCAGGGAGCCCCCGTGCCTCGGCCTCCGCCCTGCACTTCCCCTCCCCCTCCATCATCCAGCAGTCCAGCCCCTACTTCACCCACCCCACCATCCGCTACCACCACCACCCGGGACAGGACCCCCTCAAGGAGTTTGTGCAGTTTGTCTGCTCGGACGGTTCGGGGCAGCCCAGCGCACAGGTGAGGGGGGCCGTGGGGGGGGGTGGGGGGTCAGCTTGCTCAGGGGACGTGCACGGTGAAGCGCGCATGGGCCTCTTGACGTTAGCATTTCGGATGGACAGTAGACGGGGACCCTGGCAGACACACGTACCAGGAGACGGGAGGGTTTAGCCAGTACAGGGGAAATCGTCAGCTCCATCACGTCTGGTGTTTCTCTCTAGTGTTTCAGTAGTTTAAGATCACCTCCCAGTGCACTGGATTGACCTGCGACCTGGGATTACAGTTAGCATCCTGACTAAACACCAGTCTGACCAATGTACCCGCCACCATCCGTGCTTGGCCTGCCCCACTTTACATGCACAATTCCCATCTTCTGATGACGTTGGAAAGGTCTTCTAAATATGGTTAAATAAAAATCGGAGCATAGCTAGATGGCACATGCATAGAAAGACATCCGCCCTCTATCTGATCCTCTCCTCCTGAATGCAAATCTCCAGGCATCGAGCAATTTCCAGCAGAGCGATGAACCGCACACTTTTTATTCTGCTCTTACGCACCACGGGCTGTGACAAGAGCCATTTCCGAGTCATATCTGAGTTCCCAGAGATAGCAGCAAATCTAAGGAAAGGAAATCTCGGGAAAATATGTGTTTAGCTATAAAATCATGCTGGCGGGGAGGGGTAGCAGATTCTTCAAGACATGACACGTCATCTGAGCCTCAGAAAAGTTCTCTTGCTGTTGGATGCAAGGGATGGTGACTTGTAGGAATCTCTCATTGTGGTTGGAGGAGAGAGGAACACGTGGACTGGCCTGTGAGTTCTGATTGGGCCTTTGGCTGCCCTCAAGGGAACGTCTGGCTTTTCCCTTTGCTCGTGTGTATGTGTGTGTGTGTGTGTGTTTTTTTTTTTTTGTTTCCCCTCGGCGTGTTTGATTGCCGACTGAGCCGTTTACTCGGTCATCCACCCCATGTCCCATGTCAGTCGTTAACTTGCATTGTCAGTTATCCTTTGGGCTGTCCTCGATGTTAGTTAACTTCACCCGGGCTTTTGTTTTGTTTTTTGTTTTGGTTTTGTTTCAAATCCCGGTCGTGTTGCCATATCGAAGACAATCCCTCATCCATTCACTCTTCTCACTGAACTGATCAACAATTTCTTTTTCATTTGCCCCCCCCCCTCCCCCACCCCCACTTCCACCAGCCTTCCCCCGACAATCAGTACCCAAGATGGAACCACATCACTCCTTTCGGTTTGGGTTTCGTTCTTTTCTCCCGCTCCTCAAATTCTCCCTAATGGCTTATTTTCGCAGCCGCCCGCCTTGCCTGCCTGCTCCTTTAGCCGTGTGCAAGCGCTCACTGTCGCCCTGACCCTGTTTGTGTTGTCTGCAGCCAAACGGGAGCGGCCAGAGCAAAATGCCGGGCTCCTTCTTGCTGCCGCCACCTCCCCCCGTGGCCCGCCCAGTGCCCCTCCCCATGCCCGACTCTAAACCCAGCAGCACACCCCCTGACGGCGGACTCAGCACGCCCGCACCTCCGTGTAAGTGACGCCACAAAAAAAAAAAGAAAAAAATCACAAAGGCAAGCCAAGAAGAAGCAGCCTAGGGAACAAATAGTTCTGCGGTACGCCCCGCCCAGCCAATAATATGCACCACCCCAGTTGTAATTGACACACACGACGTCTCACTAGCGCTTCCCAGTGTTGTGGCAGGACTCTTCCGCAGGCTCCGCCCAGACCCATTCCGCTCTTGTTCCTTTGGGCTCTCTCGCTGATGAAGCACGAGACGTTGGTCTCATGCGCGTGACCCTCCCTGAGCCTCGACCTTGGATCACAGTTGAAAATATGTCTATTATGGGAGAAATTCGTCCAAATTGGGATTGATTCCGAGCTGAAGGCGGAACCAAATCCATCCCACCTAATTTTTATAATTTTTTTTTTTTGTATTGTTTATTTATGCTTATTTATTTTTATTCGAAGGGAACAAATTTAGGGCAGTTGGCGTGGACTCCAAACTCCCGTCCCACTTACCCACAATCCCCTGCCACTTCCACATAAAAATCTGTTAAAAAAAAATAAACGCAGTTACGTTTCGTCCAGAAAGGCCAATGGCGCTGGATCGGCAGTGAGCGTGGTCGGGCGTGGGGGGCCTGGTGGTCCCCCCGGGGTGTGCTGGCCTGCGTGTTTGCTGAGTCGGGCAGTGGGGAGGGCGGCCCATGGGCCCCGCCCAGCCCAGGGGCACTGGATGGAGCACACGAGTCGCTCCTTTCTCCGTTTTTGTGTCGCTACTCTCTAAACTGTATTTTTCTTTGTTCCCCCCCCCCAGTTTCAAGGTTGCATTCTTTGTCGTTATCTGTTGCTTGTTGCTTTACTTTTACCCCCTCCCCCCACCCCTGACTCCCCCCTTACCTGTTCTTTTGTTTTTTAATAAATTTTTTAACTGGGTATGAAGTTAATGGAACATATTTCATTTGCATTTTCAAAAAAGGTCACTGTCCAACCACCCCCCCCCACACACACACACACACACACACACACACACACACTTACAGACCACTCCCCCTGCATCCCTTATCCCCCCCACCACCACCGTACACACTTACTGATTCACACTGGGGGAATCTGCACTGGAGTCCACTGTACACAACTGCCCTAAATTTGATAGAATCGCTAAGGGCATTATCATCAGGGACCTGAGCCCACCCCTTTCCCACCCCCACAATCCC